GTGCGCCTGAGCCCGTATCCGCCTTTCCCTGCTTCCTGCTCCATCCACACCCCTCTGTCTCTGCAAATAGGCACCAGATCTCTTATTGAAAACAAAGCAAGTTTACAGCAAACTATACAGCTCCAGACAGCTTAAGAACTCTAGAGTTAGCAATTCTAGAAGCATTTTGTATTTGCTTAGAGATATTAATACTCTGAGTACTAAAATCAATTTTAATAAATGAGCCTTATGGTTTTTTAAGCAACTGGAAAATAACCCCAAAGTGCTTCATGGAGCTAAATCCACACCTTTTAGTTTTTACTGTAGACAGGGTCTTCTTGAGCTATCCAAGCTGAGCTTGAGTTTGCAATCCTCCTGCCTCAGCCCCCCCCCCCCAATTAGATTACAGGCACAGGCCATTGCAAGGCTATAAACTGAAGGGAATTTACTCTTTTTACACCCACACCAAAAGGCAAAAAAAAAAAATCATTTCTGTCTAACATGCACCAAGAAAGCTTTAGTAAGAATACAGTAGCACTGAAAAAAAGACTTTGTGAATTAGTCACCCTCAGCTAAGTCCCCATCCTCTTCCTGCTGGCTCTTCCTTGGAGATTGAAGTCATAGTGGGTGGGGGCTGTGCACTTCTGAGACTGTAGTGCACAAGGGGCCCCGAGTCCAATAAGATCCCCTACCATCAATGATCCAAATCAAGTGGAGAGTTCGGCAGTCGCGCCTCCGTGGGAAGATCCCTAAAAACCATTTCCCTGTCATTTTTGGAATTTTTTTCCTTTGCTTTTTTGTGTTGTTTTCTTTTATGCTCTTTTCTTTATTTTTTCATACTTACTGTAGTTTTTTACTGTTATTTTTTTACTCCCCTGGTTCAACCCTACCTGGAAGTTGAAGTGCTCTTTGGTTGTCCTCATACCATTCCTCTTTTTTTTTTTTTTTTTTTTTTTTTTTATGAACTCAACCTTGCATTTGCAAGGCAGGTCCCCTGCCACTGAGCTAAATCCCCGACCCTCGATTTCTTTTGTAAATGAGTAGTGCCCCTCTTGGGTAGTCAATGATAATTAATCTCTGATCCAAAATTCAGACTGGTGTTTATTTTCACCCAAATGTCTAAATTAATGTCTCCTAAATCAATTGAAAGTCTTCTACATTATTTCAAGGCCTCCATCGTGGCTCTTAATCAAAGAAGCTTTCTCATCCTCAGAAGGCCAGAGCAAATGAGCGCATGTGTGCGACCACAGGACAAGAGCTTTACTGCTCTGGGCCTCTGCATAGAAACAATTGCAAGAATCACTCCAATGCTCCAGCACCTAATGACATGAGGAAGATTTTTACAATTATATTCACGTCCTAGGAGAAAGAAAGCAGAAATTCGCAATCTCTAAGATTCTCTTAACGATAACCTCCCCAAATGCCCTGAAATGCATTGTTTGGAAAGATGGCCCTTTGAAGGTACTCGGAACGGAGGTACATACGCTTGCTTGTTCATTTCCTCCCCTACTGCGCAGAGTTACTAAGGCCCAGCTGTAGTTCTCACTGCTTTCTGAGTATGAATCATCGATCTTCACTACAACAGAAACAGGTAGGACCGCATGCATGGACGGTGGGGGTTCCCGGATGGATGAGCCCTGGGCAGGGATTTACGTTTCCCCAGTGGATTCCTTGCAAAACGGTGGAAGGATAGACTCACTCAGGGGGCTTGGGGTTCCTGACGAGCCCCCCTCAGCACCCTGCCGGTCACACGTCCGGGGTGGGGTGCTAAGGGCAGCACGACAGAGTCTGCTTTCATCCTCACTGGGGTACTGGGATCCAGCAGCCTCTACGGGGCCAGTAGAGCCGAATTCAGGGCATTGCTGTGTGCAGACAGTGCAGCATGGAGGGTAAGGCAAGGGACCGCCTCCCAGCCTCCCCTCAAGAGATACTGGGGGCAGTGTGAGTTCTCGTCCCCTCCACTCCAATTCCTAATAAGTGCGGACTTCAACAAGGTCCCTTCAAGTGTCCCTGCGATCCAGGGACAGTGTAGTCTGCTAGCTGAGTGGCAAGGTCAGGCCCCATTGGGCGCCTGCACAGTCTCGGTCTCTTTCTTGTTGGCCATAGGCTTCATTCTGGCCACGCCTCATCATACCGCTATTCTGTAACCCCTTGTGCCATGAGTGCTGCATGCAGCCAGCCAATGAGAAGCATCAGGAGTGGGCTGGTGGAATCGGCACTGGCCAATGGGGTGTGGAGTCTCACTAACCAATTGCAACCTCAGGCCCAGCCATTTTGTCGACTCACTGCTCCCAAGGGATTGGGCTTTTCCCCTGGATGTGGCGGAGGTTTCTTTGTCCTCGGTGCATTGGCGCCATGGAGGCACAGCCCAACTACTATGATTACCCCAACTTCTGCATCGAGTATTGGATGCAGAGTTCTCCTGCTTGGCCTACACCAGATTTTCCCGCTGTAGCCCCAGGTTGCACCTTCTGTGAAGGAGCTCTCGGCCTCCTGGGGCCCAACTGGAGCTGTGAGGGGTACCTGGATCACGCTGCCAACTACTGCCCGCCTCAAGTGGTGAACTTCAGCCAGAGAGGTTACGCTAACCGCCGTGAGGATCAAGCTCACCAGGAGCCCCAGCAGCTGCCGCCCACTCAGCAGAATCCCTCGGATGCCAGGGGTCGGCGTGGGCGCCGGGGTCCACAAGTGCGCTTCCAGGCCTGGCAGGTGGAGAAACTGGAAAGTGTTTTCCGAGCAACTCAGTACCCGACTGTGACCACCAGGTGAGCTGCCGTCTCAGGGCACAAACTGGCATTAGGGGACAGGTTCTGTTTCAGGTGCCTTTCTCTCTCTTCCACTCACTTCTTCCCCCTCTAGACTTAGACCACCTAGGGTCTTCGCTTGTCTCGTTTGTGCCGGGTGTGATGGATGTGTAGACCAAGGTGGCGATTTTCTGTGGCTGTGGTTATAAATTCAGTCTGGAAAGTCGTTGGTGGCTACTACTTTAGTTTCATTTGCGAGGTGTGGCATCTGACCCACAGGTAGAAAGTCAGCTACCTGAACCTCTTTCAGGGATAGATGTCAGCAGTGTTAGGTGTTTTCTTCTTGCTATGTGACACACCTCCAGCATGCTCTTCATCTTGCAAAATGAAACCATCCACAAGAAGCACGTCCCATTTAACCCATTCCGTGTACTCCTCAAAATCAGGATACTGAGATTTTACTCTGAGTTTGAGGGGCCTAGGAACCGCAGCTCAGTGAAATCGTAGCCTCTTAGTGTTTTGTTCCTGACTTATTTCACTTCCCATATCCTCAAGGTGCATCCATCTTGCAGCATGTTTTAGAACTTCCTTCCTTTTTAAGGCTGAGTAATATTCCATTGCATGGATGCAGCCCTGTTGATCATTCATGTGTGGAGAGGTTCCTTTTGTGAATAGCGCTACTGTGAACATGCCTGAGGGATAGCTCTGGACACCCAGGTTTTCAGCGTTTTCGGTACATCCTCGCAAACAGAATCGTGGGATCATAGAATTCTGTGGTTAGGCTTTGAGGCCCCAGCAGACCTTTTAGAAAAGTGGCTGTGGATTTTGACAGTTCTCCCGAGAGTGATCATGGGCTCCAGTTTCCCCAAGGGCTCAGCACACTGGTTATTTCCCAGGCTTTGACCGTGGTTCAGATGAGGGGCGTGATTGATAGCACTGTGGCTCTGATGTGCAACAGGGCTGAGTCATTTGGAGCGAGTTTTCTCTGCTTCCTAGTCATCTGTGTGCCTTCTGTGGAGAAATGTTGCAGTGCGAGCTCTCTGCTGCTTCATCCTGGGTGTTGTGTTCTGCCCGTTGACTTGGGAGGGGTGTTTCTGTACCTCCGCATCACACGTGCTTTCCTAACATTTTCCTCAGTCTGCGCCTTGATTTTCAGTGCCTTGCCTGGGTCTGTTAAATCAAGAAGCGATTACATTTGACACAGCCCACTTTAGTATGGTTGTGTTGCCTGAGTTAGGGTCTGCTTCTGTGAGTACAATTCCTGTGTATGGTAGGTCAGTAGAATAAGATAGTATTGAGCTGACGTCTTCCTGTGTTTAAAATTCTGCGTTTTTTTCCAAATAGCTGTTCTGCTGGGGATTTAGCTCAGTGGTTCTGGCACCTGCCTCAGAAGCACAAGGACCTGAGTTCTATCCCTGGTCCAATATCCTGAGTTAGGGTCTGCTTCTGTGAGTACAATTCCTGTGTATGGTAGGTCAGTAGAATAAGATAGTATTGAGCTGACGTCTTCCTGTGTTTAAAATTCTGCGTTTTTTTCCAAATAGCTGTTCTGCTGGGGATTTAGCTCAGTGGTTCTGGCACCTGCCTCAGAAGCACAAGGACCTGAGTTCTATCCCTGGTCCAATAAATATTTAATACCACCTTAAAAAAGTTTATGAGGCAGTCACATTTTAGTAGAGTCTTTTTCCTTGGAAATACAGAAAAATATATTTGGGGCAATGTGAAGGGTGATTTCAAATTAGAAAAGCAGTGCAGAATGTATATATGATAATTCATTCTTCCAGAGCACTGAATCCTTCTTCTGATCCCGGAATATAGAATACTTGTTGTTTTCTCTCCACAGACGCCAGCTTTCAGGAGACCTGGATGTGGCTGAAAGCAAAGTGAAGGTCAGTACATCCAAGCACAGCCAATTGGTAGGGCAGTCAGTCTCCATCCTGCTTCAGGACATACCTTTGTCCTGGACATTGTCGTATTGGTGTTATTTGTCATTCGTTTTTTCCAGGGGCAGAAAACTTTGAACTGATTTGCATTCATGGTAGCAAATGGGATAAGTAAACGTGGGCCTTGGATTCCTTCCCATGTCCAGAGGGGACATGATCTCATAAAGGAAAAACAGAACATGGCCTCAGGCTGCTTCTCCTATTGTAGATGCCCAATGGAACCCTTATACCTGTCCATCCTACAGAGAGCTGTCATCAGGGACAGCTAATACACGGATATGCACCTGCAGGATTCACTAACTGAAGGTCACCGTCTGCAGCACTGCTATCCTTTAGGATGCACCTATGTGTGCACTCTGTTGGGGCTCAGTGCGAACTTCAAAGTATTCAGATGGGAGCAGGGAGTTGCAAGGTGCAAATGTTCATTTGTCGCACATTGTGTGAAACCCAGCCCAAGAATTTAGATCAACATGAGTCTATAAATATTCTTTTCCTTAGTTTTATCTTCATCTCTTCTCTTTCACCTTTTGTCCCTGGGCATAGAACCCTGGATCTCACGCGTAAGAGCTTAGGGCTCTACCAGCAAGTTGTATCCGCAGCCCCAAATTCATAAATATTGGAAAGTGAAAGTAGACTCTGAAAGAAAAACACTCTTAAGACCAAGTAATGGATGTCTAGTTCAGCTGAGAGAGATGAAGGAATTAGTTTGAAAGGGTATTTGCCTGCTTTCCTTTTCTTTGTAGCTTTTGGTAAGGTAATAGAGAGAGTAGAAGCTCACAATTGAAATTTTTCTGCATACCATGCACTCTCCCTTGGAAATCGTTCCCCAGTAGTTAAAGTCTTTTTGCAAGTGGATGTATGATTTTATGCTTTGGAAATTGGTGCAAAGAGCGAAACAAAAAAAAAACAGTGTGTGGAATTGATTTTGGTTAAGCTAGGAAAGATGAAAGGATAGAGAAAAATTACATAGGGTCAAAAGATCCCTTAAAGTTTCATCATTAAATTCATGAGCATGACCCTCAGCACTCAGGAGGCTGAGGCAGGAGGATAGCTAGGAGGTCCCAGTGGGCTGTGGGAGTATGCAGGTCTTTGAAAACCTCCAAGGGGCTGCGTTTGTGGCTGGGCTGCAGGCCTGCCCAGCTGCAGAACGAGTCTATGAGGCCCCAGGAGCCAGATCTGCCGTGCTGGGCCCTGGGCCTCATCCTGGACTAGGCTCTGGGGGAGATCTTTTTCTGAGAAGTTCCTGGGGGCCAGAAACTCTGTACCTTTAGAGCCTCCTTCAGGGGCCCTCTGAGGCTGTCCTTCTACATCAGGCCCATTCCAAGCCCCTCAGCATTATCGGAGGGTCTTAGCATGAGGGGACTCCCCAGAGGCAGAACTGTTCCCACTGTTTTCTTTTTCTCACTCTAATGTGTACTCTGTTTTGGTGAATGCAGGGACAGTATCCCAGGTCTTGCAAGGTAAGCATGTACTCTCTTATTGGGTTACACTCCAGGCCCCCATTCACCCTATTTATCTGTATTTTTAAAAAATTTATTGTGACACTAGGGATCAAATTCAGCAAGTGCTCAACTACACTTTCAAAACAATTTTATGTTTGTAAGAATTGAGTGGAACACAAGGTCATTGCACTGAGCCACGTCCCCAGCCCTTTTTATTTATTTATTTTATTTTTTGACATGGGATTTTGCTAAATTTTCCCAGTCTTCCTGCAGCCTCCCAAGCACTGGGGATTACAGCTGTGTATCACCGCACCTGGGCATTTTTGTTTGGAATGGAAAGTTCACAGACCATCTTGTTGTGTGCTCATCAGTGTCATCCCTGAGGTCTATTCTTTTTCACCACTTGCAAGAAGAAAGCTCGATTTTGTTGCCACGACTATCTGTGAAGGAGTTCTAATAATATCTCCCTCCCAGGCTCTGTGAGCTTCCTGCAGAGACCTGGCACATTGCTGGCTTTGAGGGTGACCATGTCATGTGTCCGTGGGTGGCATTTACTAGGCTTTGTCCACTCCGCAAGGTGCAATGGTGCTGTCCCTAACACTGCTGTCTGCAGAGAGCAGCGTTCGGCCTCAGTCTGGACACACCACATGCAAAAGTGCTGTGCACGGTCAGAAGGGTGAGTTTTTGTTTTCTTTCTTTCTTTCTTTCTTTCTTTCTTTCTTTCTTTCTTTCTTTCTTTCTTTTGAGACAGAGTATCTCTCATTCACCTAAATTGTTCGTGCTAGGCTCAATTTTGTGATTTTCCTGTCTCAGCCTCCCAGAGCACTGGGATTCCAGCTTGTGGCACCACACCTGGCAGGGGGGAGCATTTTTAGCTGGCAGTGTATCAGCGCTGGACAATTTCTTTCTGTTACTCGTAGAAGGTATCTGTGGCAGCACTCGGCACAAGAACTTGGTTCAGCATAAGTAGATTTATAGGTACTGTGGCAGGGATAGAAGCCAGGCTTCCTGCGTGCTAGGCAAGTGGTCTGCCACTGAGCTACCTGCCTGCCAGGGGCCCTGTGTTTGCACGAATTATGTTAGCATAAGCTTTTCCAGGTTACATTTCATTTTTGTTTTCAGTTAATTTTTTGCCTGTGATGCTGTGGTTTTGAACTCATGGCCTGGCCCATATGAGGCAAATGCTCTACACTGAGCTACACCCCCAGGCCCGTGTTCTTTCCATCTAAATGTTTTCAGCACAGCAAGAAATAGCAATAATAAGAGAGAGTATTCTTGTCTTTACAGTGTTGTGGGAACTGGTCTGCAGTTCCCTAAGAGTTTTCCAGTGTATGACTTTCAGATTTACTCATCCAAATTACAAATGCACAGACTCACTGTTCTAGTGGAAGCACTTTTTCTCCTATGGTTAAGGTTATACTTCCTTTTTTTTTTTTTTGGTTTGAGATTAGGTCTCACTGTCCCCCAGACTAGGCTTGAACTCCTTGCCTCAGTCTCCCTCCCAGTGGCTAGGACTACAGGTGTGACCACCACGTCTGCTTACTGTTTACTTTGGTTTGTTTGATACTAATTTGCATATGGTATTGAAAATGTAGGGGACAGGGATATAATGGTTTTTGTTTCCTGTCCTGGGAGTTAAACCCAGGGATTCTGTAATGAGCTACATAAAGAAATGAAAAAAAAGGGGGACAGCTGTGTTGAACATGATGTAAATGTCACATGCTGTGTAGCTGTATTGAGACATCACATGGTACCGCAGTAATATGCACAATTTTTGTGTTCTTTGTGGCAGTTTAAAAATAAATCTAAGAGAAAAAATTCAGAAGCATGTCTTCTTGGAATGAATATATATATGTATATACATATATATATATACATTTTTTTTTCTTATGGAGAGAGGCACTTTTCCTTTTCAGTGGAACTCTCGTGTGAAGGTGAGTTTTGCAGAACAATTTGCTGATTTTACCCTCATTTGGGAGTAGATCTGTACCTGTCTTAATTCCAAGTATTTCCCATTTCTTCACACAGTGAGTAGCAACATGTGGGTAGACCTCGGGATCAGAGGACATCAATGAGAGACTGCAAGAACCACATTAGATACCCCATCAAAAGTAGGGAGTGAGGGACAGAAAGTCAGGATGAGTTCAACATTAGCTTTGGTGCAGAGTGCGTGACAGAGAGCAGGGGGAATGTGGGCTGCGGATCTGCTGGTGGGGACCCAGAAAAGCAGCCCAACAAACCTGGCCCACTCCTCCCTGCTGGGGTCCCTCTTCCTGGAAAGCACTTCCACTTTTATGCTTTGGGAACGAGGGTGGGGATCTGCATGTCCAGGTGGAGCACAAGGGCATCAAGTGCTCCACCAGACTTAGGGTGGGGCTGTGTGTGTCCCCGACGAATGATCTAGGACCTGGAAGAGTTGAGGAAATGCAGTGAGCTGGCTTTGATCTGAGCCCAGAAAGGCTTGGAGGTGTGGCAAGCTGTAGGGAGCAGGAGGGACTGTGGAGACCACGGCAGCATCTTGCCCCTAAAGCCTTGGGTGGGCAAGGATTTGGGGAGTCTGCGTTCCCTCAGGATGAGTCTGTGTGCCCTTCTCTCACACCACAGACCACAAATCCAAGCGGTGTCTGGCATCCCTTGCCCCCCCACAGCCTTTCATCATCAGGGGTTACAGAAGATCCGGTGACACCCTCCCTGGTGAGCTGGCAGCAGGAGTCAGCTGGCTGGACTGCGGTCAGCAGTGAGGGTGCCGTGTTGCTTCATCTGCTTAGATGACACGGGGCCAACATTGGGCACCTGGAGCAGCTTGTTACCTAGGGCTGCACCCAACCTCTGGATGAAACCATTAGGCAATAGTGAGGTGGGGAGGAAACGGATAAATCTTCTAAGCTTCTGACCCGGGCAGAGAGCTGGTGCTCACTCAGCGTGAGATGCAAGAGGAGGTGTGGTGTTACGTTCCTAAGCTCTTTGGTTTTCTGCTCCTTGGGATGGAGCTCAGGGCCCTGGGCAGGAGGGGTCTGTGCTGCTCCATTGACCTCACCCCGCCCCCAGGCTAAGGTATTTGAGCCTGAAGAAAATCACTCCCTCATGCAATCTAAGTGTCAGTGACATAGAAAGTTTCATGATTTGCTTTTTCTGTTATGATAGCGTGTTCTGCTTACTAACCATGCCCCCTCTCTCCTCTGGTCTCAGGCTTGCTTTAACAGTCGGAGAGCCAAATACAGGAAGGACCAGAGAGAAATGCTCATGAATGTTCCACCTGCTTCTCAGGATCCCCGTCCTAGCGAGGAGGTGGGAGAGCTGCTCTAAGGTGCAGTCCTTTTTCAAGATGGAGATCATATTTGGCGTTTTGTTCCCACGGTCATCTGTGCCACCAATGGAGCCCATGCTACAGTTATCTGCATAGCACTTATATTGCAATAAAGAAGTGAATTCTCTGTGTGTTTGTGTTCTTGTTCCTTTTGAGTTTATTCAGATATGGACTTAATGTGTTCAGGAAATGCCATTCATCCTGAGTGATGATGAGGACTCCTGTCGTGAGGGGATTCCCTGAGTCACCATCAAGAGGTCCTGCACACCAGTCTGCTAAGGGCCATGGTGGGCTGTCAGTGACTTTTACTCAGTACAGAAGTCTCTGTGCCCCATTGCCCGACAATGGCTTCCCCATCACCACGGTCATTTGGGGGCCTCAAATGTGTGCACAAAGGGTCAGGGAAGTCCCTGGTGAGAGGACCCCATGTGCAGACGGAGCTGGGTTTCTCCCATGTTGAAGAGTTCAGTCAGAACCCCGAACTCTGAGAGGAGCTCCCCAAGAGGTTTTCACTGGTTTGAGGAGAGGGGACAGACACTCAGTCATCTGTGCTCTTCCCAGTTCTTCCCTCCTTGCTGGGGAGCACAAGGGGCTAGGGCTGATTCAGGAGCACAGTTCCTGCTACCTCAGTAGAGCCCTAAGACTCTGTTCCAAGGAAGCCAGAGAGAGAGAGACAGAGAGAGAGAGAGAGAGAGAGAGAGAGGAGAGTCTTCTGTCCCATCCCCAGGCCAGCAGGCAAATCCTCGCAGCTTCCTAGCTGAGAAGCTGAGCACCTCTCCTTCCATGTGCTGTGTCACCATGAGTACTCTACTCTTATTGGGACCCCATTTACCGGTGATTTCACAGTTGAAGAGCCTGCTTTTTCATTTTCATCTATTTACTTACATTATTACTTTTTCTGGAGCTGCTCAAGGCAAGAATAAGAAAATAGCTCCCTTACCCAAGTTCCAGAGAAATCAAGCTTTGGAAACAAGTCCTTCCTCCGTGAGTTCTCATTCTCTGATGTCAGTCAAACCACAAGGATAGAAACAGAGCAGCAGAGGGCTGTGAAGAGCCTGGACTACGGTTTGAAAGCATCAAGACGTCCTCACATAAACCTTTGTTTTCAGGTAATCTTTGGCAGTGTAAGCTCCCTGGGAGAAGATTTATGTCTCAGGTATTGAAGGGTGGAAGCACAGTCGTAAGGGAAAGTGGGAGCAGTGACAAAGATAAGGCCCAGTGGGCCTGCAGATTCCCTCGGGGGTTGGGAGGGTGTCCGTCCAAGGCCAGTTTGACAATGGGCTCTTCTTCCCAGGGGAAGAAAGCCTGTGTCCCTGGGAGAGCTTGTGATATTAATTTGCAGTGCTGTCTTCTTAGCTTTGTCACTCTTGGTTGTCAAAGGTCAGCAGAGTGACTGTGCCTTATGTGTGGTCTTTGCCTTTAATTCCCAAAGGCCTGCTGGTCGTATTTCAGTCATTGGCCTCTGAATGACTTCTGGCTTTCAGTTTCTCAGGTGCTGCAATATGTGAGTATCTTGCTGGCTGGGCTACTCTCCTAGTAAGGTATAAGTTAGGATGAGTGGCCACTGGAAGATGGTTTCTAGGCTAACTGCCTTTGCTCCTTGTTACATGTTCTCTCAAGATAACATGTTCACTGGAACTGCGGTATAAGCAATTCCAAGTACAAGAGAAGACGTAGGTTTTCTGTTTAAAATCCCCCAGTACTGGAATTCATCTGGTGGGCTTCTACTTCAGGTTGCCTTCCTTGTTTAATGACTGCTCAGACTTTTTTTTGGGGGGGGGGTACAGTTTTGTACATCTTTATAGAGCCCCAATGTCTTTTTTTGTATGGTAAACCTTGTTTATACAGTACTGTAGTTTTGCTGAGCGTACTGTACGATGCAGTAATATAGTTTTATGTTATCAATACTGTATATGTTTCACAAATATAAACAAAGTCATCAAGTTGGAGTTTCCATTGACCATTTCTTTGTTCTGAATATTGCAGTGTACGTCCTATATACAATTCCTCATTTAGCAAATAATTCCTTTAACAACCTAGTGGTAGGAACGAAGCTTGATCATTAAAGGAGTGTCCGTATCTGGATCTTGTTCCCATGATCCCCCCTCTCGGCTTTGGAGTACGTGAGCTTCCTGGCACACATCTTCTGAGTGTCCCTTAAGCACCACTACCTCTAGTCAGCCACCATGGAATTCTCCCTGCATTACACTTACTTAGTTTTGTAAAGTTTTTGCTGGAGGTCACACCCAGGACCTCATGCATTCTAGGCAAGCACCCTATCATTGAACTATATACCCCGAGCCCTAGCTTTCTAAATTTTGACTAGTGTGTGTGTGTGTGTGTGTGTGTGTGTGTGAGTCATA